CCTGCGAGTTGATAACATGAGAGCCTACTGTATTAGGTATAAGCAAGAAAGAATGGTTAGTTTAAGTCGATATGTTCAGATATAATTAGATTCAACTTATCCGTGTTGTTTCACATCTTTAAACATGGAGATGGGGCTAATACATTAATAGCATGCTATTTAAATATCATATACAAACTACTCAAGTCAATTTATAAATATATCAACAACAAAGGTTATCGACATTTTTAAAAATATATGTTATCCCAGCTGGGTGATGAACTCTTCATAGGCAAACAAACATGCAGTTCCTAGGGCGACCACAAACTGTTGCTGGGTACAGCTGTAGTTACAGCATAGCATGATCAAAGATTACACATACATGTAATGTCCTCTGGAAAAATTCAGACCTACAGAAATTAAGGCAACCATTGACAAATCGCTAAATCCGAAAAAATCTCCTGGTTACGATTCTATCACTGGGAAAATGTTAAAAGAACTGCCAAGGAAAGGGATGATTTTTATTGCATTTCTCTTTAATTCTATATTGAGACTAGACCACATACCAACTCAATTTAAGAAAGCCCAATTAATTGTTATACCAAAACCAGGAAAACCTCCTCATGAAATCACTTCCTACAGACCTATAAGTCTCTTGCCAATAGTGTCCAAGTTGTTTGAGAAATTGTTCCTCAAAAGACTACAAGCTCTTTTTGAAGAAGACGACGTCATTCCAGGACACCAATTCGGGTTTAGACGGAGACATGGCACCGTGGAGCAGGTCCATAGGGTTGTTCATACAATTCGAAACTGTTTGGAAAACAAACAATTTTGTTCTGCTGCTTTCCTTGATGTCAGTCAGGCATTTGACAAAGTATGGCACTCTGGCTTACTATTCAAAATTAAGAAGTTACTACCCCATTCAGTTTTTCCTATTTTAAAATCATATCTTACCAACAGAACTTTCCAAATTAAACATCAAAATTACTTAACTGACCTTTACCCTATAGAATCAGGAATCCCCCAAGGAAGCGTGCTTGGACCATACTTGTATATTCTCTATACATCGGACCTACCAGAAAGTGTAAACACTATGGTTGCTACATTTGCGGATGACACGGCGATTTTATCTGTCCACGACAATCCAGCTCAAGCTACAGCAAATTTACAGCTAAACTTGGATGAAATTTCTCATTGGTTTAAAACATGGAGGTTCAAAATTAATGAAAATAAATCAGCACACATTACTTTTACCTTAAATCAGGCTACATGTCCTCCAGTATCCATGAACAATATTCACCTCCCTCAAGTAACGGAAATAAAATACTTGGGCATGCACTTAGATGCAAAGCTTAATTGGAAGGCACATATCTGGACTAAAAGGCAACAACTAAATTTAAAAACAACTAAACTTAATTGGCTTCTTGGATCTAAATCAAAACTCAGTACACAAAATAAATTGTTACTGTACAAAACAGTTTTAAAACCAATTTGGACTTATGGTATTCAGCTTTGGGGATCAGCAAGTACCTCAAACATTGAAATTATTCAACGTTACCAATCAAAATTATTACGTAAAATTGTCAACGCTCCTTGGTTTGTTACCAACAGAACACTTCACAATGATCTTCAAATTCGAACAGTAAAAGAAGAAATTACAAAATATAGTGAAAAATACATTATAAAATTGGAAAATCATTCAAATCATCTTGCACTTAATTTATTGGACAATCACAACACCATTTACAGACTGAAGCGACATACGATATTGGACCTACCATTCAGATTCGGCTAAGTGTTATCAAAATTCTCTTTGTTTGCTAGTGTTGACGGTGGTCAATCACTAGCTCATGTTCTTCAAGTTATTTTTGTATTACTATTTATATCATTTGCTTATTGTTCAACTTGAACAGATTGTAAATTAAATAAAGTTAAAAAAAAAAAATGTGTAATCTTTCGTATGATGAAAATATAAAATGTTTGAATTATTTATGTTATATTTATATTTTGTTGATTATTCTTGTCCTGAATAATTTTTTGACAACAATTAATTATTTTATTGCTAAGAAATGAAATTGATTGAAACATAACCCGATCGCAGCAAATCTGCAGACTGAGCAAATTCCATATGCTTTGGATTTTTACTCAAATACTTCCTTAATAATGTAAGATTTATTCCCTATTTAATTTTTAAATTTAGGTTACGGTAACTGAGTAGTTAGGTTTTCTGCTACAGGGGAGGTAATAAAGTGTGTTTATAAGTAAAATCTTAGCATAGAAAAAAAATAATTTTACAAAATGTGATTAAAATATATCCATAAACAAGCTAACTACAACAGTTTACTTATTCTCCTTAAAAATAACAAAGGGGTTTTAAATTTAGTTTTTTTTTATTTTACCCTTAACCACAAAGTAGTCTACAAGTACGGTTCAATTTACCAAATTATTTGTTTTAAGCTCTACAGAATGGTTTAAAATTAAATTGATATTTGGGTAATCCGCTACTAGGTAATAATCAGAGTCTGTATTATGATATTTCCTATCATTGAATTATCCTATTATTTAATTATAATCTAGAATAAAGGATGGGTACAGTTTCTTAACTGGGCCACGCCAATATCGATTGTAACTATCGATTCGATTAGTAAACGTTCATGCGATTTTTTCACCATCAGCAAGTTTGGTTGGTTAGGTTATTGAATTATTGAAGATTTAGGAAAAAACTTATGTTGGTAACCCTGTTGATTGTTGATGTCTGCACAATAACAGCTGGGCAATTACTGGAATGAACTTTTACTGTTCTCCCTACTTCTTAAGTCCTTCCAGTCTAGTCTAGTCCGTCCGACGCCAAGGGTTTTAAATTGGAATACACAGAGATAAAGATGAAGACGGCGAGGGGAAAGCTACGCAGTTCTTCAACTGTTTGTACCGGTAAAGTTATATAGGATTATAAAATAAAACAAGTTAACCATTTATTAATTTGAGTTAAACAGAAATTGTAGTTTATATTGGCGAAAAAGTCTAGGCTAATTTGATTACATTTTTGACGTGTATTAAAAATTAATTTAGGCCTACTGATATTCGTTGGATAGCTTTGCAAATTCAACGATATACCTCTGGTTTAAAATGTGATAACGTAGAAACAACTGTAAAATACACACATATGGCTGAGTATAGGCCTAGTAGTAATGTATACGTCATTGATGCTGAAGGTCATGCCTTTGAATACAAGTGTATCAACCAGTTAACATTTTGTAGCCTAATATAAATTTTAGACTTTTTAAATCGTACTTTCATGCCAGTTGTAAAACAATCCACACAACTAATTCAGAAACCTGCGATTACTTATTTTTTAATTATTTTTTCAATCGGCTCCTCTGTAACATAACGCTTAGACCTACAAGCAGAAATCCACTTATTATTAGTAGCATTTTGGAATATCGAGATAGGTACTGTGAAGTGAAAATCATATTTCCCTTTTCAATGTTTAGCCAGTTTAGGATAGGAACGAACCCATCGTTGAGCTATCGGCAGAATATGCCTCACAAAAATAAGTGTTGTTTCTAAAACATTATGAAAGTTGATGCTAAATCATTAGCCTACCATTGCATCTTTTTCTATCAACCACAAAGGTAATGGTAGTTTTATATTTTTATTTTTAGGCAGCAGTGCATTTTCTACTATGTAGCATTATCATCATATCCTGTTTGATGTTCATTGTTGGTGAAGATAAGTGTTTGCCATTTGAAGGATTGTTGCAGATATTTTGGTGATTTATAGTTCTTCCCAACTCAAGCCCTTCACGAATATTAGGCCTACACAAGAGTTTCACAACTTGGAATCACGATGTGGAAACTTATTTTTTACCAATCGTGATAGAAATGTCAGCAAAAATCTATCGAGGGACATAAACTTACCAGCGCAAAATATGAACCTGACACAGGACATAAAGACAATGGTTAGTTGGTTATCTACAATACTCCCGAAATGTGTATGTCTAATAATATACGTAAAATATCGCTGGTGGTTTCAGTCTGTAGTCCTATAACTGTTCCGAGAGAATTCAAAAACTACTGAACCAAACTAAATTTATCAACTAAGGTATACCATTCATATTTGAAATTAATTACTAGAAAGACTGTGAGGTAAACAGTTGTGTCGCTATAATCAATGCAATGACGAGGGTGCATTATTTGATCTCCAGAGGACTGGATGATGATGCTTAATGATTCTACTCCTAGTACAACAACAAAAATATAGAAATTAGTTTTTTTTAACTAAATCACTAAATGTGATCCACAGTTCGAGTTTTGAAGAAAGAAACTCTGATTTGATTTGAATAATAAAGTCGTGTCTTTCCCTAACATATCGGTACAAAATTTATTATAGTAACTTAATTACATTTCTAGTGTTTGTGTTCGTACAAAAGTAAATAAAACTTCATCGTTCTGATAAAGCACCCTCCTAGCCAAAATTAGAATGCCAAAATCCTGTTCAAAAGTTCGATTTATCTACTGAGAAAGAAATTTGACTCGTAAATCACTGAGCCACGACTTAGTAGTTAGTAGTGGATTTATTAAGAATTCAATTTTTTATTAGATTCCCTTGCTAGGGATTTTTTAGGGTTGAATCAAAATGTTGAGGCATCATGAATAATTATATTGGTCGAAATCGAATCAACATATTTTAATAAAAAGTAGGCTAATGCACTTGTAGTGTCACCGTTCTTAGAGACGAGTTATGGCACTAACACATTGCAGTGTAGTTAACACGAAGACGAAGGCTAGGTTATGTAGAAGAATATACTGTAGACTGCTTCACTAAAGTTTACAGTAGTGTTTGAATATTTCTTTTGTACAATTTTAGGTACAAAACCTTTTGAAAATATAACCTACTTGTATAGTATACTACAGTAATTTGTTAACAAGATGTTACAGAACGAATACTTAAAATGTACAATATTGTCATGGCGATGATTACTAACTTATGGTAATTAAATGTAATGATCGTTGTTTACTCACCGGGGGTGAACTCTTTGTGTTGGCGCCGAAATCAGCTGTTGAAGTGACGGCTCGGCTCACGTCGGCTGTCTGTGCCCGTGCCGCGGTTAAACAGGGCTACCAACCCAGCCGCTGTCTTACCAACATTCCCAAATTAAATTTACCTACTTTCAACTGAGAATAGTAGGCTAATTACAGTATTGCAATTTCGTTGCTTTTCCGTTATGCTTTGTGCGAATAATTAGTTGAATATTAATTTATCTATTCTACCATAAGCGAAACCCGGCATTGCCCAGGTCAAAATAAAATAAGATTCACAAGAACTTAATGATAATTTAAAATAATTAATTTAAAAACAACAACTATTAATGTTTAATTTATTGTATTTTGTTTGGAAAAGTTTTGTGTAAAAATTGCAAAATAATCAATGGAAAATTGCAAATAATTATAAAATTTACTTATAATCTATATATTAATGGGCAAGCACGTTTCTTTAGCCTTTTTTCTCAGCTCGTGTGCATCGCAAGGTAAATCTACGCATACTGTTAGAGATATATTTTCCTGTAGATGTGCAAAATTCCTTTATAAATTAAAATAGGCTAAAAGAAGAGCACAAAAAATTTGTTTGATTGTCTGGGCAACCGAGTGGTTATAGTGCTCACCTTCAAATCAGAAGGTCGCTGGTTCGAATCCATTCGAAAGGGTTTCCAGACCCAGATGCCATTTGTCATTGGGCTATGAATTAATGATGCTATCTAACAAAAAGGTCGACGTTAGATAGTAACAAGACCAGGGTTTGGACCGTTCCCTTTCAAAACGTTAAAAATGCCACTGGAGTAAAAAGACACAAAATAAAATAAAAATTGAAAATTTCTAAAGTTAATATCGGCCATATGTAATCGGAAAAGCAAAACGAATTCCGATCACATGCTTTATTTACAGCGTGGGGTGAAAATAGAGAATTATTTTTTACTTCCTCCCCATAATAGTATATAGAGAAAGTATTGTTTTTGTCAAAATTTTCGTGTTTGAGTTTTGAGTGGATATATCCATTTTGGCACGTTTTGGGCCCCCTCCTGGACCAAAAAAGTGAGTATCGAACATCGAAGTGATGTCTGCGTGTGTGTGTCTGTATGTGTGGATGTGTACATAGCTACAGACCACACATGTGGTCCGATTTTAATAAAATTTTGTATCTAGGTACTAATCTATGGTATCTCCAGGTGTTTTTTTTCATTTTTTTTCAATTTTTATTTTTAATAGTGATTTTTTCATAAAACCTAAAAATTAGCAAAAAAATCGAATTTTCTCAAAAATGGCCCTAACGATTTTGATAAGACTTAAGTATGTTATAGACCTTTAATTCTTAACAAAATGGTATAACCCCCCTTTCCGTAAAAATTACGGTTCAAAAGTTATTGTAGCCTTTGTGATTTTCCCTATAAAATATCATAGACTCCCATCACTTACCCAAAAAAAGCTGTTGACAAGCTAATGGGAGAAAGTATGTGTCAGATTGCTGATAATATTTATTACATTACATATTTTCGGTCGAGTTTTCGACCACTGGATGACCTCTAGTACTATTAAAAGTACAATAACTACTACAAAAAATAACTACTGTATTATATCTATTTGGAATGTAAAGAAGACTGAGGCGACATTTATTATTTTGGTTTTGTATAAAACACAGGAAATACATCAATGTTATTGCCCTTGGAGTGATAAATCACTTAACTGATCGAGCACACTACTCTAACTCCGGTTTCACGGCTTGTAGAGAACAATGTTTAACATTTTGCAATATTTTTAACAGTACAACGTATTATTTCAACAATGCACATTAAATCTATTTTTCATTTTTTTTTGTACTATTATTAATTGTTATTTTAGTTAATCGTGTTTGCATGGGGGTGGGGTACGGAATAAACCCCGGTAAAATTCTGGTCTTGGGGTAGTTTGGAAAATGATTAAAATATCGATCCAAATTTTTGGTTCTTCACTCAATTAATCCAAAATATGCTTTGTCAATTTATATTTTTGTTGCATTGTTTTTAAAATTGGAATACTTACTACTGTGGACACTAGCATAGTCTAAATTGTTTAACTTTTTTGTTTTTTACTCCACAATCTGAAAAAATAAGGTTATGTTTTGTAGAACTCCTAGACAAAGTTCAGTAATTTTCCAGATTTTCCGACAGAAAAACCTGGTTTTCCCGTTCGTGATTCCTAGTCCCCAAGTGTATCTTATAATACACCTTATGCCATGGCTCCGCATCTGAGGGTCCGGGAACTCCATATTTTCGGGTGTGGTTGGACTTCCACCATGGTTGGACCAATGAATGGTTGGCACGTGAGATCCGTACGAGCAGAAAATGATTATTAAGCGAAGCTTGAATGAAGTCGGGCCGAACCGAGAGCAAATTTTCGCGATCGTAGAGAGCATTTACGAAGATGCGCAATCTAAAATTTAAGATTTGATCGTGATCGTGGGCGACGATGATGTCCCGTGACTGCGGAAGATATCCAAGATTTTTTTACCTTGGAAGATGTGCGTGATTTTTGCAAGACCGCGGATGATGTTCTGGATTTTACCGTGGCTGCGGAAGACGATAATGATTTCGTCGTGGCTTTTAAAGATATTCTAAATTTTGCCTTGATCGCGGAAGATTTTAACGATTCACCGTGATCATGGACGATGTTCTTGATTTCAAACTTACCGGGGGTCCGGGGAAGACGTTCATGATTTCGCCGTGACTACGGTGACTACTGAGGATGTTATCAAGTTTGTCGTGATCGCGGAAGATGTTCTTGGTTTTACCGTGACCGTCGAAGATGTTTACGATTTAGCCGATATCGCGGATTATATTCATGATTTATGACCATGACTACGGAAGATATTCTCGATCTTGCCATGACCACGGAAGATGTTCTCGATCTTCGATCTTGCCATGACCACGGAAGATGTTGTCGATTTTGCCATGACCACGGAAGATGTTGTCGATTTTACCATGACCACGGAAGATGTTCTTGATCTTGCCATAACCACGGAAGATGTTCTCGATTTTGCCATGACCACGGAAGATGTTCTCGATCTTGCCATGACCACGGAAGATATTCTCGATCTTGCCATGACCACGTATAATGTTCTTGATCTTGTCGTGACCACGGAAGATGTTTTCGAACTTACCATGACCACGGAAGATGTTCTCGATCTTGCCGTGACCAAGAAAGATCTTCTTTATTTTGCCGCAAAATCGGAAGGTGTTTATTAAACACTGTATACTAATTCACGGTGCCCACGGATGACGATCACAATTTCACCGTGACTAAATTAGGGTTTACCAGTGCGAGTTCAAAATTTCCACACGTTCCTGATCCAATCAATTTCTTGAATTGAATTTCTTCTTCTCAATCGAGACCACGGAAGATGTACTCGATTTTGCCATGGCCACGGAAGAGGTTCTCGATCTTGCCATGACCGCGGAAGGTGTTCTCGATCTTGCCTTGACCACGGAAGATGTTCTCGATCTTGCCATGACCACGGAAGATGTTCTCGATCTTGCCGTGACCACGGAAGAGGTTCTCGATCTTGCCATGACCGCGGAAGAGGTTCTCGATCTTGCCATGACCACGGAAGATGTTCTTGATCTAGCCATGACCACGGAAGATGTTCTCGATCTTGCCATGACCGCGGAAGAGGTTCTCGATCTTACCATGACCACGGAAGAGGTTCTCGATCTTGCCTTGACCACGGATAATGTTCTTGATCTTGTCGTGACCACGGAAGATGTTCTCGAACTTGCCATGGCCACGGAAGAGGTTTTTGATTTTGCCATGACCACGGATAATGTTCTTGATCTTGTCGTGACCACGGAAGATGTTCTCGATCTTGCCATGACCACGGAAGAGGTTCTCGATCTTGCCTTGACCACGGATAATGTTCTTGATCTTGTCATGACCACGGAAGATTTTCTCGATCTTGCCATGACCACGGAAGAGGTTCTCGATCTTGCCATGACCACGGAAGATGTTCTCGATCTTGCCATGACCACGGAAGATGTTCTCGATCTTGCCATGACCACGGAAGATGTTCTCGATCTTGCCATGACCACGGAAGAGGTTCTCGATTTTGCCTTGACCACGGATAATGTTCTTGATCTTGTCGTGACCACGGATAATGTTCTTGATCTTGTCGTGACCACGAAAGAGGTTCTCGATCTTGCCACGCCACGGAAGAGGTTATCGATCTTTCCATGACCACGGAACAGGTTCTCGATCTTGCCTTGACCACGGATAATGTTCTCGATCTTGCCATGACCACGGAAGATGTTCTCGATCTTGCCATGACCACGGAAGAGGTTATCGATCTTGTCTTGACCACGGATAATGTTCTTGATCTTGTCGTGACCACGGAAGATGTTCTCGATCTTGCCATGACCACGGAAGATGTTCTCGATCTTGCCATGACCACGGAAGAGGTTCTCGATCTTGCCTTGACCACGGATAATGTTCTTGATCTTGTCGTGACCACGGATAATGTTCTTGATCTTGCCTTGACCACGGATAATGTTCTTGATCTTGTCGTGACCACGGAAGATGTTCTCGATTTTGCCATGACTACGGAAGAGGTTCTCAATCTTGCCTTGACCACGGATAATGTTCTTGATCTTGTCGTGACCACGGAAGATGTTTTCGAACTTACCATGACCACGGAAGATGTTCTCGATCTTACCGTGACCAAGAAAGATCTTCTTTATTTTGCCGCAAAATCGGAAGGTGTTTATTAAACACTGTATACTAATTCACGGTGCCCACGGATGACGATCACAATTTCACCGTGACTAAATTAGAGTTTACCAGTGCGAGTTCAAAATTTCCACACGTTCCTGATCCAATCAATTTACGCAAACTTCCCGGAATTCTCTATCTGTATGGCAGCCACCCTGGTAGGTCTCAAAGAGGGCGGGGAACGACCCCCTCTTGCCTATATCGATGGACGCCCATGCGTGCTTGTGCTCTTCTATATTTTATCTCTCTATCCTAACCCTAGGTATGTTCTTTACATTTTGCCAAAAAATGATACCTAAACACTAAAG